CGATCTATGTTCAATTACTAATAGAAATTGGTTTTTAACTGTCAGAAAACACATCAATCCCTTAATGTCAAGCACTTAAAAAGCTCTAACTTTTCTTGAGAATAAATGGCAGATTAGACTCTACTAGAAATTGTTAATACTGTTACTTACCACGCGGAAATGTTAAAATATCATTTAGATTCAAGACACTATAAAAAATGTAGCATTTTAAAGCCTTCAGTAACCAGTTTTTCACAAGCTCTAGACTGAAGTTTTAAAAATATACTTAATATCATGTATCTTTCATTGCAGTCGAATTTATACGATATTTTTTTTCAGGAACTTTCTATATTTACTCTGTTCTTGCTCAGTGAACCAGAACAGACTGGACACTGATAGAATAGTGAATATAAATAGAATCTTACTATATTATTATCAGCCAACTACAAACTCCATCTTTCTTCTTTAGTTAAAGGTAGTTTCATTAATTACTGGTTTGTACTAATGGAGATTATTTTGCACTGTTAGCTTAATATATGGATTTAAGACTAATCTAGATCTCCTAAGTTACCGAATCTCAGAAGATATTTATTACTGGGTTGACGGCCGAAAATATTGTTAACAACAAGGTACCCAACTGATAAGTCAATGCATTTAATCTTTTTTTAGGTTTTAGGTTTCTTGTGCTTTGATTTATGGCATCTTTTTAATTTGCTATATAGAATTGGCTTCACTAAATTGTAAGCTACTTTTTAATTCTCTTCTATGTAGGTAGAATATTTTCGAATAGAAGTTATTAATAACAAATGTAAGTTGGTCTCGAGTAAAAAACACAAATAAGACAGACAGTCCGAGGTCCTTATACTGAGGATTAAAACCTAAACATTGAAAACTTAACCTTCTTATACTGACCGCATCATAGTCTTCTGCAGTTCATGTTGTGTGTAATTAATACATCACCTTAAATGAGACGATTCAGAGGTCGATGTAGTCAGAGTTTACTAGGATTTCGTAACGCCACATATAACCTGCTTGTTATGAATTGTAAAATATGGTAGCCATTAAGGAAGAGGAGGGCCTTCCTAGTTGGTATTTTAAACCCTAAACTTTATGTGAAACATGAGCCATGATTTAGAGTTACCGGTCAGAGATTCTAAAGTTCATGCATAATCAACCCTAATTTAGAATCGCTGACCAGGAAAAAAAACAGTTACGAATAGGAACTGACTATCACAACTATAACGCCCCTTTCCCCCTTTAACGCTTTATTACATAGTGTATTCACAACTCTAGCAGTAGACCTTTAAATCCTCAGCCCAGCACGCAAGGCATTGGGCCGTGTCCGGTCCTAAGATCCTCAGATGTAAACGAATATTTTCAAAAATGATACTAAAAAGAAGAAAAACACTCTCATGGTGTACAGATATTGAACACCAATCAACTTTTATTTAATTAACTTAATTGATGTCAATCAGTTGAGTTACTGGTCCACGTTTTATACCTTCTAGTAATGATATAAAAACAAATAAGGCCTCTGAATCCTGGTTGTGGGTTTTTAAGGAATTCATAGTCATCAAAACAAAATAAGGCCTGTAAGCTTGACCTCCTGATACCGAAGACAACATTTTTATTCAGCCAAATTCATTGAAATAATGGTGTCCGGGATTGAGTCCAATACAGGACTTTTAAAATTCCAACAACAATAGTCCTCGTCATATGATACCAACAGAAAGAAATTTATAAGCACTAGGTATGTTATGAGAGTGACAGTCTATCTCTTAGCGCGGAGGGCGGGCGGTAGGATGCCGATGATTGGCTATCTTCAGTCCCCTGGCCAGTAGTTCAAAATTAGGGACGGCAGCAAATAGTCTTAGTAGCTTTGACTAAATACAAAATAGAAATTAGTTTTCTAGTGTTCAACGAAATACGTAATTCTGCATGCTACGCCCGACTATCTATAATAATAAAATGGCATGTCTGTGGGTCTCTGTTTGTGAGTGTGTGTGTGACCGCCATAACTCCAAGAGGAAAGAACCTATAAACCTGAAATTTTGCACCAATACTAAGCGGACCCTGAGGGAGTGCACCTGGGTATTATTACTTATCTTATCCACGTACGCATCTTTTTAATGAGGCAAGCTAGCGAAAAACTACAGGAAAGAAGTGGTTCCTTATATAACAACTTCTAATATATAAAAAAGGCAATGCGTTTTGGTAACAATGCGTTCCAACAATGGCTTTAATATCATGTTGCTTAACAATAAAAGTATAACCTAATATTGTTGTTAGTCTATGTACTGAAAGTATAAAAAGAAATGTATAAAAAACAAAACTGGAAAAATATTTGTTGATTTCTTAATTGAGATTCTCGGTTCATTAAAGATGTTTTTTTATTAAAAAGATTGGTGATATAACAGACAATAGCTTAATTCGGAAACGATTTACGTTTGAAATTGAATCGATATTTTTAGTTTCATGATAAATTTTATGCACTTGGCTCTAGGCTAGGCTATCTCACACTATGTCTTTACTTTAGGTTTATATATTAATTTCTTTAAATTATACCAACATTCACTACACTTACAAGGTTTCACAATAACCCCTTGCAACACCGTCACTAAAAACATAATGGTCAGACAGTAATCGAACTATTGTATCTGGATAAATATATTTGAGCTTTCATGACTTCTCTTATTTCCAGAAATCAAGCGTTACGTGATGCGACACACATTGACTGTATCTAGAATATATCAATCTAATAACCCGAGCGAAGCCGGGTACTTTCGCTAGTATTTACATACAATCATCATTCATTATAATACTTTCTTCTATGGCCAACTAGGGGAAAGTAGGAAATGGAGAAAACTCGTAATGCAGTAAAAACAATTTATACTTTTGTTCAAAATGTCACTGATTTTAACAGTCAACTCGCCGACCATTACACGGAAAGCTAATTCGCCTAGCACTACAGGGGAAGCTAATTACTTGAACACTATTAAAAAAGAAGCTAATTCACTGAGCAATATATGGAAAGTCAATTAGCTGATCACTAAATGGGAAATTAATTCTCAAATTTTCAATTTTATTTCAATTTAAAGATGCCAATGTATTAGAATGTTATTTAAAGTTGTAAGAAACTAAGAATACAGAGAGTTTTTCACAAATAAACAGGATTACGCACGTATAATGTTGATTTTAAATTAGTATTTAGTCCTCACTTCTTGTACGTATACTGACACTTTAACAGTTATAGTTGTTATTAGAAGAAAATATTAATTCATTTGAAGTCGGAAATGCTATCTCCATATAAGCTCTAGCAGATGGCGCTGATGTACATCTTGTTATACCTAGCTGAAGAGAGATGGTTTTTAAGTTCTGAACACTGGTTTGAAGAAATATTTGCGTTTTAAGAGCCCCCCCCCCCCACGGTCCCATCGGAACTTTCTGGGGTTTACAAAT